TGCGGGAGCCAGAGGCACAGTACCAATCACAGCAGAGCGTTTCAGCAAAGTGCTGCTGAAATATTATGAACCTAGTTATACACTCTATTATCCTCCTTAAACTGCTCCATCAAAAGGAAAGTGTTCAGCTAAACATCTGGAATCATTAGCCCAGGCTGCAGCTGCACATCCGCCGGCTCACGCGGCAGAGAGGAGGAGCAGTTTTGCAGGAGCTGCTTTGAGCAGATCATCAGATCTCCCACAGCCCAGCACCACGTCCCTCCGTGCTCAGCGTGGGGGTAACGACAGCACGGGCTGTGCTCTCCAGAGGGAAAAAACTATAAATGCCTGGGGTGCTTCCTCTCCAGCCACAAGCGTGTGTTAACTCATCTCCCCTGTCCCTCGTCCAGCAGACCTTTGGAGCTGGCTGGAGGCTGCACCTTTAACAGCCAGCTTTGTGTGTTTCCCTCGCCACACACTTCTGACCCCTTCCAACCTCATCTTCTCTAGACTTGAGTGCCTCTAAAGGTCTAACTTCTTTCATCTTCTGACTGGGAAAGACTGCAGATGCTTACAGAGAGGAACATAACGGGGAACAGAATAGAAGTAAGATGATAAAAGGCAGAATGTACCAGCAGGGCAACGTTCCCCATCTGAGGAGATAGGACAGATGGAAGCAGAAGCAATGTCTCTTACACAGCAGCTTTTCAAACTGATAGTATAAGACAGGGAAAAAGAGGAAGGAAGAAAATACTCAGGAAAATAAAGAGCATCTCAGTCCAGCCCCGGGCATCCTTCTGCTGGCACACGAGCCCACTCCCTGTGCAAAGCTGAGCAGCAGCATCACGTCAAGATTCACCAGTCCCTGCTCATTTCTAACGCCAGATCTTCCTCAGCCAGTCGCACTGACACAACAGGACCGTTTCTCTTCAGCCCTCCTTTTTCTCCTCCTCTCCCCCAGCCACCCACAACCTTTCCCACCGTCTCTCCCAGGTCCCTCACAGGTAATGCCACCACTCAGAGCAGACACCAGCTCCTCCAGAGAGCTCTACACTCACCCAACCGCAGGGGCGTCCCGCTGGGGTTTAAAATACTCCCCTGCTGAGGACAGAACAGATTGAAGATTGCACCCGTGCTCCTCTTGGGAACTGCTAGCTGGAAGCTGGGGTTATTCCCCCTCTTGCTGAGGCAACAACGGCCGCTAAGGTGCTGGAACTAGGCTCTAATGCAAGGGCACACATGCCAGAGATCCTCAGGGCCTTGGCTGAATCTCTCCCGTTGGAACAGGATGGCATGCAGACATCAAGCCATCCAAGGCTCCTTGCAAACGGCCCAGCCAGCCTCGTATCCCAGGACAGAAACAAGCATGCAGGGGTTCAAGTCACAGTTTTCATCACAAAGAGCTCAGCTGCCCTGCAGCGAGAAAGGATCTCAAGCCACCAGCTCCCCCTCCACCGTGGATCTCCCTGGGCGTGGGATCCCCAAAGCTGCATGCACAGATTGCAGGGTACTGCTGGTGCACAGGTCTCATGCTCACAGCCCCGGGCAGGCACACAGGCTCGGAACAGCACAGACTCCCACATGCAGCCACACTGCTCCTCTCCCATGCACACCCCCCCACTCGTGCACCCCTGCATGCACCCCCAAGCTCCCCAGGGGCAGGGGGTCAGCCCCAGCTCCCCCTCGTGCAGACACACACATGGACACAAGCCAAGGGACGTGCTGGGGGCCCGTGGGCACGACCACAGCCCTCGTGCAGAAAGGTGGCGGGGCCCCACGTGCGCTGGGCTCTTGCTCTGGGCCGAGCCGTGCCCGGCACGGGGCCGCAGGGGGGGCAGCACCTCGTGCAGCTGGGGAACCCACTCGTGCCCGTGCTCCCTTACATTTCACCGTGATCTGAGCAACGGCCTCGATGACCCCCAGGCTGGACATGGCCACACACGTGTAGTTGGCTGAGTCCTTGACGTCCGGGAGCTCCAGGACGTTGCGGCCCACGGGCATGTCGTCCTCGGGCGTCAGGTCCTCGGCCCCCTGCATCCACTTGACGTAGGGCATGGGGGAGCCCACGGCCACGCAGGTGATGTTGACGTTGCCCCCGGGCATGATTTCGTGGCTGACAGGGAAGATGGGGAA